CAGCAATACACCACATCTAATTACTCTGGAGGAGGCTGTAAAACTTTGTGAAAGTCCGTTTGGAGTCCATAAGTCAGTAAAGCTCAGTTATGGCAGTGATAATGAGACGAGTGTTTGAGGATATCCTGAACTTTTCTGTAGGCGAGTGCTGCTAGTTTTGCTGCTGTTAGCAGCTGTTAGCCTCTTTTAGCAGCTGTTAGCCTCTTTTAGCTGCTGTTAGCCTCTTTTAGCTGCCTTTAGCCTCTTTAAGCAGCTGTTAGCCTCTTTTAGCTGCTGTTAGCCTCTTTTAGCAGCTGTTAGCCTCTTTTAGCAGCTGTTAGCCTCTTTTAGCAGCTGTTAGCCTCTTTTAGCAGCTGTTAGACTCTTTTAGCAGCTGTTAGCCTCTTTTAGCTGCTGTTAGCCTACATTTGTGAAACTTTCTTTGAAGTGGATCTAATACTGTTGATCTCAGACACTTAATGAATAAACTCTAACATGATGTGAGAATGTTATCAAACTGTAAAGTGTGATTTTTAGGACTATTGAGCTTAAATTAACTGGCATAATCTCGCCTGATAACCACCTGTTGTTGTTTAGCTGCCACAAATAAACGCGTCATTCTCTGTATTTTTAATGGATGATGTCTAAGTTCATAAGAATGTATCGCTTTGGTTGAAGACGTAATGGCACACTTTCTTGTATAACTGATGAGCACAACGTTCTTTTTTCTATTAAATTACCTAAAAATACTTCGTGTACCTTTAAAAGAAGATAACATAAGGTCTGATCACAATCTTTTATTGTTTGTAATCAGTTCACTTTCTTTGCATGTATGAACACAAATGTCATACTGCGGCCATAATGACCTTTAACTGAGAAGCATTTTATATTGCAATTAAGCCAAATAAAGTATTACAGTTTTTATCCATGCTAAAGTTCTGGGTGTTAAAAATGATGGTGAGGGTAACATGGAGCCTCATGGCAGCATTTCAAATGTTGAAACAAACACTTCCATTAAACTCTCAGATCGATTAAGTAATGTCTCAGAGTGCTGCAAATCTGTCTCCTCCTCTTCTCGTATTCAACCACGAACAGAAATGAATGCACTCAAGATCCATGCTGCTTCCTTAGAAGAACCCACGCTCTATATAGCAGAATGACTAAGAAGCAGAAAAGAACAGTTTTGCAATAAAATAGAAATATCTGCAGCAAACAGTAGCGGTGCTGAATGCTGAGATCATGGCAACGTTTCAGAGGCCCACTCAGATGTAATGGTGTCATATTTCTAAACATGAATGCTGCAAGATAGTGACCGGAAAAGGAGTCGTGTCATCAGAAACATTTACTGTCTGCCAGCATCCAGTTAGAAAAACACTTTAGAACACTTCACACTTTACTCCGTCGAATTCCTCTAGAATTAAATGAAATTGTTACATTGTGACAATTACACAGTAGTGTAAGGAATTTAAAGTATTGTGTAACTTCAGGTAATATAGAGGAAAAGAGACACAAATTAAATTATTAGCAATTTTAAGTAATGCAAAAATAATTTTAAGCAGTAAGTAATTTCCAGGTGTTTTAGTGGAAAAAGATATACAATGTATATAAGACCCCCCTCTGCCGCCCTGTGGGTTGGTATGTCTATGCTCTTTCTCAAGATTGGCTCTTCTACAAGAGGCCTGGGAATCTGGGGGCAGCTCTTAGCTTAGCTGTCCCAAGGACTGTACTCTTCTGAACAGAGATCTCTGATGTTGTGTCTGGAATCTACTGAAGCCATTCTTCCAATTTGGGGGTTACAACTCCTAATGCTCCTGTTACCACTGAGAGCACTTTGGTATTTCTCTTTTTTCTCACTCTCCTTCCTGACCTTGCTGTCTGCCAGGATGTGGCAAACCCAGCGGTTGTTCAAAAGAAAACAATTGCATTTTTTTGTTCCTTGTCAACCACCACATTGTCTGGTTGGTTTCCATTGGATCTTGGGGACTTCAAGTGGGGCAAAGATCTTCCTGTACACTATCCCAGGCACTTGGTTGTGCTTCTCAGTGTACACAGCTTTCATCTTACATCCTGCTACTTTGTACTGAATACTGTACTGGTACCTTTGCCCAGCCTGCAACTTGGGTCCTGTCAGGTGTAGTAGACTCCTACATGATCATGGCAGCACAAGAACAACCATAACTACAAGATCAGAGGCTGTGTCCTTTAAGCTGGCCTTTTTACCGGCTGGCAGGATTTCACTTTGTCTACCTGTCAGTGGTACAGCCTATGCAGGGGTTTGGTCGTCCAGGATAGTTCCTCCTCCTGTTCCTCATTAACATGTGTCTTCAACTGCCGAGGCAGTCTTGAAGCAGTTAGTCTTTAGGGACCACCCTCCTGATGTATTTGAGGATGCTCCATGTTCCATTCTGGCTCTGACACTCGCTGATCCTCACCCTCCCGCTTCCCATTGCTAGTAACATGGAGATATCTGTACATTGTGAGGAGTTTTCGTATTTTGATTTCAGTGGCATCCTCCTCCTCCTATGGCCAGCTTATTATTCTATCTGGGTGTCTAATGACTGTCAGGGTCTATGTATTTGTAGTTTTAATCCCAACACTTTTTACCACTCAGTTGGCTGCTCAGTACATATCTTGTCTACTTGAGGTACTTGACTGTGGCTGACCTTTGTGCATTTCTGTCATGTTTCCTGTTGACCTGTGGGATATCCAGGTACTTGTATCCTTTATGTCTGCTTCTCTGCCCTCTGGCAACTCCATCACCTTCACTCTCTTTGCAATCATTCATCGTACAGGAGCTGACTGATGATCTCTTCACTCCTGAATTAATGTCCGTATCAGCTCTCTGCAATAAGCTGGCTTAGAGGGTTGAGGTCTATGCAAAAGCAGTAGGTACAGTGCATCACCTAGATATGTTTGAAACTTTATGGTGACATGAGTGATTGCCTTTGGGGTTGTTGAATGAATGTTCTTAGTGCACTGTTAGTCTGATACAGTGCCAAGCACTCCAGTGTTTGTGTGTGGGGCACTGAGTGACAGGCTTTCTTGTAGTCAGTGCAGTGGTGTTTAGGGTGGTCTGCCTGGTCTAAGAGTCTTGGTGCACTGCTCTGTCAAACAGGAGTAGGTGCTTTCATCCTGTTTTTCTTTCTGAGCAAGTGTTCACTTGCCTTTCATGGAATGCTGCTAGGAACTTCAGTTCTTCCAGTATTACTCAGTTTGTTTGTTTTTTATTACTCAGTTGCAGTTCAGGGTGCATCCGTTCCCCTGTTATTATTTCGTTGTAGCTGGGAGAACAGACCATTTATTGTTTATTTCTTCAGCTTAGTGGCTTGAGCTGTGAGCCTTTGTTTGGCAGCTTTCAGAGTCGCTCTTATGTACTTATATTGTACTTCATATTCATCTATTCATCATGCTTCTCATTGAACCATTCTGCATCTCAGTAAACTGACTAACATTGTTCCAGACTTCCTTGATTGTGGTTTCAAGCTTTCTTCCCTTCCTATATAGATCTTTGACCTGACACTCATGTGCTTCTCAGATTACTGTGGTAATATGAGCTCACTGTTTCACATTTGGTAGTCTGTCTTGTTTGGGTGGCTACCCTAAGTCAGAGATTCATCTGCTGAAAATCACTTCACTAACTGACATCAGTAGCATCTATCTAACTTTGTGGGAGTGGCAAGAGAGCTCAGTTAATCTTTGGCTTTATTAGATCACAGTAAAGAGACTATGGCAGAGGAAGGCATTACATGGAGCTGCATCCCTCCATCCATTAAAGCCATTAAGCTACTATTATCATTTATACATGAGCATAAATGCGCCCTGAAAGAAAATACTTTAGTAAATATAGTGAACAGTAAATATTGTGTCAAGCAAGCACAATATGATTCTTTAACGATGTGAGTGAGCTGTCAATACAGAATCTCTGCTGAATAGTTTGTTTTTGTCAACTACATGAAAGCAGGTGGAGGATGATGAGTGATGGAGGAGAATCCAAGCAGAAGGCAGTGTGAGATACGTGACTGTCAGATACTTGATGGTATCTCTAGAAAGTATTTCTATTAACTGATATCTATTACTTAATACACACCTTAATGAGCTGCCCGTCTCCTGTCCCAATGAAGAAAACCATCCAGCCTCTCTGCCTCACTGCCAGCACAGAGGTCATGGAGATGTGCCTGAAGAGCACTGCCTTCGGTTTCAGGATCTTTGGCTGAAAAACAGGCAACCAGCAGATCGGATATTTACAACTAACTAGAAAAAATACTGAAAGTACCTGATATAGAAATAGCATCTCATTACTCAAAGTCTAAAAAAAGCCTTGTGTTGTTGTGCCATCAAAGTGACCTCTATTTATTCACTTTGTATTTTTGTCTTGTCAGAAAATTAAGTGCTAGCAAATACTTCGTAGTGCCAGTTGAAAATTAAGAAGTACATAATGTGGCAACATGTCACATGTACTGTTTTAGGGTTTTTTCTTTTCTTTTTTTTATTACATCATGTGTACAGTTTAAAAATTAGCCTTAAAGAATCAATGGAACTAAACTTTTTTTATAGATCATTTCTGTTTATATACATTTACTTAATTGAATACTAATTAGATGCAGTTTCACACACAACACATCTCGTCTAAACAGAATGATCTCCCATCCACAGCTGCTAAAATCCAGAGAGTTGTGCTGGTCAGCAGCTGCAGCAACATGGTTTTTACTTACAGTTTGGAAAACGAATATTCTGATAATGAATCAATATGAGGTCCTATGAATGCACAGCACCAACTCTGCAGAAGGCTTAAGCTGGTCTGTATACTTTATGGTTTTTAATAAATCAAACATCATTCATCTTCATGTGAACCAGCAGACAACACAACTCTTATTCAGTCATGACTTTTAGTTCATTTTTTACAATATGAGGCCCTGGATTTTTTTCTGCTTTCTAAAGTCTAAATTTTTAAAACTTTTAACGGAATATTTTGTGTCATTTATTTGATTTGTCGCTGTTATTTTAGTTCCACCATAATTATTTTTTGTTTAGTTATTAATACAGTCGATTGTGCCCCTGCATATTTCTTACAGTTGTTGTGTCTTTTTGATGCCACATAACACTTAATACTACTTTCTACTAACCAGAGAAAAAAAAATGGGACAGGTGGAAACAGTTTCAACACCAAAAATAACCATTAAAAAAAATAAACGTAAGTTATTCAGCGACCCACCGTCACTTCTGTTGGCACAGAGGTGTAGAAGTCTGGATCTCTGTCGGTGTTCGTGCTGTAATCAGGGCTGATGTCAAACAACATCAGCTCGGTGTCGGTGTCTCCTCCGTCGATACTGAACACGCCGCTCCAAAGCACCGGCTGCTCCCCCGGGATGACCGAGGAGGCCACGAGTCTGCTGCGCTCACCGTCAGAGACATTAAGAGTCGCGCCCCGCAGAGACTTGAGTGTGTCAGTTTTACTTTTATCGCCTTCGAGCCAAATGAGACGGACTCTGTTTGTTCGAGCTGAGAGCGCGTTGGAGAACAGATAGATGGTTGAACTGATCTGAAACCCGTCAACAAACTCCACATCACCTTTACTTTTGATCCCAGGTGTGCCTGAAGCTCCATCAGTCATAGAAAAAATACCTTCCCCAGGTTTGTTATCCGTATCCTGAAGCTTGACAGCCTGCTGATTAATACCACACTTGTTGTTTTCGGGCTGTTCTTTGTTTTGTTGGATCGCGGTCAGAATGTAAGCGTCAGTCTGAGTTTTCTTCTTCACATCCACCAGAAAGCTGACAGACCTGCTGCTGTTCTTCGGAGGTCCCACCTGGATGTGTTCCCTGTACAGAAGGTTGGAGATGTTCTTCAGGTCCAGAATCTCGCAGTAACCGCAGTCATCGTCAGTCACACCGCAGCTGATCAGAGAGTCGTTCTTTGTGAAAGGCAACAGCACGTTGATGCTGAAAGTTGCGTTCCACTCAGCTGCCTCAGAAACGCGGTAAAACTGGACGTCATCCTGCTGGTTTCCGGTCTTTAAGATCCCTCTCTGGGTCAGACTGTTGATCAGACTCAGGCCGTGGCTCAGCTGGTACAGGCTCTCCTTTGTGGCGACGTAAAGTGTGTTTGAGGTCACGGCGAACTGACGGATGTCTCCATTAAACGTGAAGTCTCCATCCTCCTCCAGGCACAAACCCGGTTCTCCGCAGAGAACAGAAAGCAGAGCGAGCAGCAGGATCATCTTTAACCTACAGCAATACTTCCTCTACACAGCGAAGTCTGGCACGGCACTCTGCTCTCTCTCTCTGACGTCTCAAGACTTGTGCGTAAAAGCGCAGCGTGGGTCTAAAAGCTGAGACGAATACTGCCTTCCGAAATGTCAGAACAAAGCCTGTTCGGCTTTTTTACATCCTGTCAGAAATGATATCTAAGAGACAAGTTAACAGTAGCAGCCTCTCTCTCAGTGCCACGAAGTCAGAAAAAACTAAGGAAGACAAGACACATCCTCTTTCTGACGCGCACAGTTGTCTAAAGTGTGCAACCTTTTAAGTGCAGCACTCTCTCAGTGTCTACTGCAGCATTCAAGTTTCGCTTTGTACCCCTACGGTGAACAGGAAGTGGTTCAGCGTTGTATTCTTAAGGCAATAATGATTTCTTGGTTTTCGCTGCACATGTGTTTGTGAGTACAATAGCCAGAAATAGTTACAACTACACCCGGTCTCCCCTGTTTCTGACATTTGTTGCTTTCGAGCTCTTTTAAAGTAGTGGATGCAAAATGTAATGCAAACTATTTACATGTCTCTGCTGTTAAATAGTGCAGCTATTTTCTCAGCAATACAATTAGTACTTGCATGGTGTGGTCTCAAACACAAAGAGTGAAATGATGCAATTAACCCCATAGTCTGGGTTAGTTGTAACATGTCCTGTAACACAATGAAATAAAGGTACTGACAAAATCTTAATATGTAATCATTTTTATTCAACACCTTAATGCACGCACACACACACAGCTTCAGTGATCCCTTGCTCTCCTATGTAGCAGCAGGGAATCACCACTCAGAGGAAGAAAATGTAGTTGTGCACCAGCATGATTTCTCTGTGTAAGTCAAGGCAATTTTATTTGTATAGCACACTTTCAGCACAAGGCAATTCAAGGTGCTTTACATGATTAAAATAAAACACAAAAAATAAAACATAAAACACTATAAAAGTAAAATACAAGAAAACATTTACAATAAAACAATTATCAAGACAATAATTTCTATGAAAAAATTAAAACAAACAGGTAGAGAGCCATAATAGGATCAGTTACTCATAAGCAAGTCTAAATAAGTAAGTTTTAATTTTAGACTTAAAAGAGTTCAGTGTCTCTGCAGCTTTGCATTCTCCCGATAGTGTGTTACAGATGTGAGGAGCATAGAAACTAAAAGCTGCTTCTCCATGTTTAGTTCTGGTTCTAGGGATGGTCAATAAACGAGTGTAAGTCATCACATGACTCTTCATTAGTACAGGTGTGGGGGTTTTAAAACATATTTATAGAGTCTGAGTGAAACAAAGTCCCAACGTGTGAGTATCAAAGTGCTGCTCTGAATATTTTCTGTTAAATATTGTGGCAGAGGTGTGGTCTATGGCTCCACTGCAGGGGAGTCATGTCAGTGACACCGGGCCTGGAGGGAGAGGTGTGTGTGTGTGTGTGTGTGGAGTTGGCCGGAAAGCTGCTCCGCAGTGGTGGTGAAAGACAATCTGAGGACAAATCTCTGTTCACAAACATGAAAAGTGTTCAGTGTCGTGACTATAAATCATAATTAATGATAAACAGAATGCCATCAACAGCCCTTTCACTCAAAAATACATAGAATATTTGAACATGCAAACAATTTTAAAAAAAGGTTTAAGTAAGGCGTAAGTGCTTCTGTAACGCACGGCTGGATTGTTGATGAACAGTGGCATGTGACTCGTGGTCTAGTTGACCACAAGTGCAGCGTCGTCACATTTCCTGATCCAACAGACTCAAGTGGATCAGTTCTGCATTTGTGTCCAGCATTATGAGAACTGTCCTCTCTCTTGTTAAAAAGAATATTTTCACAATGGTATATGTGTATTTATGCCCCTGAAGTCTTTTTTTCTGTATTTATGAATATCCAGGAACAAAAAAGAGGCACAATTACAGTAGTTCCCTTTCCCTCAACACAGAGTAAGATGAAGTTTAAGTTTTAAATCAATAAAAAAACATTAGCTGAAAACTAGATTTCGACACTAAAGCTGATTTCTGGACGTTAATAACAACCCTCTTTAATTGTGACACAATATAAAATAATCTCCATCAAGGTGTTCTCAATAAATGCTGCCATACAGTGTGTTCTGGTCCCATAAATATGCATCACATACTTCTCCTTTAGTCCTCTCCAGTTTTTCTGAAACCTCTAAAAGGACCCTTACTGGATTCAGACGCCTTGGTCGGGAGTCAGACCCCCAACCTGAAGTTGCAAAGGCGTGTTGTGCTGCATGTGCTGCCAGACACTCGTGGAGTGCAGTTAGTTTCTTTAGCCAGCATAAATCATGTCAGGGTTTGGTGATGTCCTTCTTCCATATGCTGTTCAAGTATTGCTCCAACTCAAGGCTTGGAATGGATGCTGTTCTCATGTTGTTCCGACACAAACCTTGTTAATCTAGATGATGTCCGAGCTGATATAGCTTCAGTTTTGTCTCTCTTGCTCATATCCCAGGAATAGCATGTGGGACCTAGGCTGGAAAGTGTACTGGATACACATGCCCGGGCGCAGTATCTACGCTCTTCTGGGCAGAGATCTCTGATATCACTCCTGGGATCTGCTGGAGCCACTGGCTCAATTTGGGGGTAGCTGCCCCGAATGCTGCAATTACCACACTAGTACTGTTGCCGTCACCCTCCACATCTTCTCAAGCTCCCCTCTCAGCCCTTGATATTTCTCGGCTTCCAGTGTTCCCTTTTGCCGATGTTGCTATCAGTGGGTATAGCTGGGTGAAAACTTTATTTATTTTACAAATTTAGATAAAGGGGAGAGAGTAATTGAAAACGTATGAAGATAGCCTTTATTTAGTTATTAATTAATAAGGTGGAAAAACACTAAACACTCACTCAGATCATGATACATGCCATCCAAAGCCCCCAACACACATCTGCGTCATCCACGCATCTATTCCAGTAGAAGAAGCAGGAAGGGCCCAGATGGGTTTCCCATAGCTGAGGGGTGAGAGTCCCAGAGGACCAGAGGTAGTCGACTGCGCTAGAGGCTGGCTGCCCTGGTACGAGCCGAGAACAGGGTCAAAGGGCCACAGGTGCCCAAGAACCACCCGGCAGAGCCATCAAGGAGGTCGTAGCCACCCCAAGCAACCAAGGGAGTGGGTCAGTGACCACACCAGAACATCCAGCCCCCCCCAAACCAGCAGCAAACTGTGACGGTGCCCTAAAAACTGCCTGTAGCCCCTCATCCCGGGCAGGGTGTGTGAAACAGGTGTAGGGATTCCCCTTTATAAACTCAGAACCTTTGTTATCACTTGTGGCCACCAGAGGCCGCTGTCCTCCCCAGGAGGGAGCTCATACAGGACTGGCTGAAGTAGCATTTTATGAAATCAGACAGACATAATGTATCACACAAGAAAGTTTTTTTCTGTTTCTGTTTTTACAATGACGACCCAAACTAATTGTAAAACAATGCTTTGGTTGTTGCAAATTAAGAGTTTTAACAAGCAGCAGTACACTGAGTCTGTGGGTCAATAACATCCACAACAAAGTGAGGATCATTTCATTGTTTTCTGAATGTTCTGCTGTGGATCAAAGTGTCTGATGGACTGATGTTAGCTAACATGCGGCTGGTGTCACGGCTGGTCAGGCAGGACTTAAATGCGGGACTCAGAGCTGTGCATGTAAAGGGAGGTTTATTTACAACAACACCAAGTGAAATATACATATGTACATATTTAAGCGCCTTGAGGTGACTTTTGTTGTGATTTGGCGCTATATAGATAAAATTGAATTGAATTGAATTACAGTGATGAAGGGACACAGGCTCCAGGAAATCTAGGGGAAGGTCCAGGGCAGGGGTCCACGTCCACAACCTCTTCACACTGTCTGTGACTCACTCGTACTCAATCCACTCCCACGCTGAAACTCACTGACACTCATCCAAGCAGGGTCCACATGAAACAGGCAGGGATCCTGAGGATCGTTAGGAAAAATCAGGAATCACAATGAGACTCGGAGATTCACAAAGAGAGCTGGAACTACACTAACGAAGGTAAGCACAACAACCTAGCAATGAACAACAGTCCGCCGTGGCTTTAAGTAGTGGCAGAGCACTCATGCAGCAGGTGAGTGATGATGAGCAGTCGTGGAGATTGAGGCAGGGACCAAGAGGAGGAATGAATTGATATAAATAATATCAATTTGTCTCACAAGAACATATACAACCAATAATAATTCAAACTGCAGACAGTTGTGCGTGTCATTTGCCTAAATGCCCCCAAAACACTGGAAAAAATCTAACATAGACAGACGGTTTGGAAGAATATCGTTTAACGTTTTGAGATCTTTGAAATCTTTAGAGGGGTTGGCGAAATGAGAGAGGAACTGGAAAATAGTGGGATTTCCCTTTAGAAACTCGAAGCCTGTGTTATCGCTCTCCGCCACCAGAGGCCGCTGTCCCCCCTCGTTGTGCTCATGCAGCGGCACGCAGCATCAGCCTGGTCAGAGGCAGCAGAGTGTCGGGAACTCCAGCAGCTCCTCTCTATAAATTTCCACTGAGGCTCTGTTTTTGGGATTCATTCATCCCCGTCAGAGCTGCTGCTCGGTCCGCCCGGACAGGATCTCCTCTTCCATCCACCCGTCCATCCACCTATCCGTCTTCACCTCCCCATCTGCCCAGAAGTGCGCAGCGTCCGCATCTGCACCTCAGAAGGTCAGACACATTATTTTCGATCATCGGACCTGTCAACTTTTTTCTTTCTTTTTTTCCTCTCTTTTCCTCCATTTCTGTCCTCTTGATTTCATCACCGGAGGAATTACTACTGAATTCAGCGGTCACCGGTGAGTCGCCCTGCCGGTGTTTTCTCGTGAGGTGAAATCCCCGCAATATAGAGGCGTGGAAGCGATCAGACTGTGGTCAGGCCAAGAGGTCTGATATATTAGCAGCTGAGGGAATCCTTTTAAGGAAGCTCGTGTTTCCTGAGATGAGGTTGAGTCTATCCTATGTGTTGCTGGGATTACTTTAAATTAACCTTAACCATAGCTTAATTTAATTTAGTCTGTGATCTTAATGACGTGTTGCAAGTTGGAAAAGTCTCGCAAGTCAGTTATTTAGGAAATAAAAATGGAGCAATGAAGGAGAAAGCCAGAATCCAGTTTTGTAATACAACCAAAAGAGTTCAGTCTTTATGAATATGCAGTTTTGTGTTACTCTGCTGCTTGATCTCCTTCTCCAGTC